TATTTAGACTACATGTACCAAATGCATGCCTGATTTGACTTGAGAAGAGTCATACAAAGCATATATTTGGCCCTATATATAGACTATTTTTGTATTGTCATATAATGTAAGAGAAAAACAATAATCAATTAGCTTTGAACTATCTCAAATATTGTTCAGAATTTATCCTTCTCACAGCATAGCTGCTTCCTGTCACGTCTTTGTGTGCATTTGTGTGAGAGAAAGAGAGCTCCTTTCATTCCAGTAATAGTAACAATAAACAGTTAAAGACTGGAGAAATCAGTACATTTCAGGAACAGGTCACTGACAGATGGACTGAAATAATGTTTTGAGTGTTCCAAGGAAACCCATAAGAACTATATAGAATGACATACCAATTCTTTTAAAGTGCCTATCAGAAACTCCCACAGCTAATGGTGCTCAAACAGCTGTAGGTTATTAGGAAGAAGCTTGAACTGAACTAAAGAGCCCTCCTTAGGGTCATTGCATATCACAGTACTGTTAACTAAAACCTGATGTTGCTGGTGCAACATTTACTACAAAGGAACAATATTTCACTGTTATTTGATGGGTGACATAAGCTACTGGGCATTCTGTCTCTTATCTTTGTTCCCATTGAGAAATTAATTTTACATTTCAACTTTATAATGATCTCTTGAGACTAAACAAACACTGTTTTCACACATTTATAGGGCTTCTACGAGTTCTTAAAATACACTAAATTGATGCATATTGATCATGACTCAGAAGACATCTTTCAAAATAATATTTTCAAAATCTCTGGGAAACCATTTGATGTTCTCCAGGATTATTTGTATTTTTGAATTTTCTGAAATGTAAAAAATGTGAGCGTGGGATGTACCATCAAATGGTTTTGGAATTAAACTGATGAGTCATGAAGAATGGGTTGTTAAGGTTAAATAAAGTAGTCCAGGGGTAAAAATTTCAAAAGTCTCTAAGGGATTTAGGATCCTAATCTCATTTTCAAAAGTGATTTAGGTATTTTGTCAAAAGTCAATGAATGTTAATAACTTTACCCAAGTCTATATTAGTGTATTTAGCTGCAGAAGTGCCACCCAGCAAGATAAAAGATAGTATTTTTAATTCTGTTCTCTTGTGAACGTTTATTATCAAAGCACATCTTGTTTTGTAAATGCAACAATATAAACTAAGGGATCCTCTGAGAAGCAGAAATAAATAATCAACGGTGCATTAATAGCAACATGGGAAACAATGTAATAGGGCAGTGTTTCCCAAACTTGGAACGCCGCTTGTGCAGGGAAAGCCTCTGCCATGTCCGCAGGTTCGGCCAATCGCAACTCCCACTGGCTGTGGTTCGCCGCTGCAGGCCCAATGGGGGCTGTGGGAAGCGGCACGGGCCGAGGGACGTACTGGCCGCCGCTTCCTGCAGCCCCCATTGGCTGGGCAACCTGCGGATGCGGCAGGTAAACAAACTGGCCCGGTCCACCAGGGGCTTTCCGTGCAGAAGCGGTGTCCCAAGTTTGGGAAATACTGTAATAGGTTAATGAAGAGATTCCTAAGCATACCATAAATGTAATGCAGATAATTTTATGAAAGAAAAATGCCATTGTAGGGTATTATTGGGCAGGAAGTATAGGAAGGGAATGTTACATTTCCCATCAAGTACTTAAAATTGTCAACACTTAAGAAGTTCTCAGTGTTCCCGTTTATCTGATTGTACTTGTATGTATTATTGATACAGGCAATTACAAAAATTCATACATGCATGCTGTCCATTGATAGGTAATGTATACTTTAGATTATTAAATATATATTACAGGTCTGAGACAATCAACATTGGGAATTAACTTTCAGATACTTCTACTATGTTTGGGAAACCCTACCAACCCAGCGCAAATAACTCAAGTCTATCTTGGAATAAAATACCTTTTTATAGATGACTGTTCAAGTCATAATATTAAGCGAGTCAGTCAAGAGAGGATATATGGGACCATCCCGACAAAACATCTGATTTATCTTTCTATGAACAATACTTAGTTTGCAGTGGAAAGCAAGAGAATTACATTAAAAGTAAAGGACAAAAGAGATAAATAAAAATAATCATGGGGCAAAAGGTCAAGGGTTTGGGTCTCACTTACACTAATGTGTGTGTGGAGCACTTGCTGTTATAAGGTTGTGGGTGGGGCTGCAGAAACCGGATGTCATCCTCCATTTTGAAAATTGGACTTCTAGACAGTAGGGGGCAGAACAGAGTGTGGCAAGCTGAAACTTATAGAAGGAGTTCATTATACTATGTGTTGTTCCTAAGCATGAGCCTTAAGCAGAACAATACAGCACAAGACACTCTTTTGCCACTTTTTGCAGTGCAAGAGCAATCAGTGTAAATCAGGCCCTAAAAAACAGATTAACTAGATTGATTGGCAATGGAAGAGGATCTTGGCATAATGGACATTTCTGAAACAATGGAATTCTGTAACACCTGGACTAAAGCCAATGGGTTACTATAAAACCTGGACTACAATCAATGAGATACTGGGATATACCAGGAAATAAACTATAGGCTGGACAGATGAGAAAGTCCCAGAGGTTGGAAGGTAGAACTATAGCTAAGACTTTCCGTAGCATATACCGATAAATTCATAAAGTGCCCCAAACTGATGTTTTTATAATTTGGTAAGTGCTTCTCCTACTCTTTTTTTTCATACTTAAAATATTATTTCACTCTTTCTCCCATGTATCACTGCCCTCCTGACGCTCTAGTATTCAGTAAAGTATTTATAATCTGAAATGCTTATCTTATCTCTAGAAATCAAGGCGTGATGAGCTCTGAACGAGATAAAAAATAACCTTTAAAAAACCGTCTGGGTCATTACACACAGTCTAATTTACTGGAACACAGTGCCTCAAATGTCATGAATAGAAGACGGTTTATGGGTTTGTCAGGGACAATTTTGCTAAGATAGTGTGGTTGGTTTTATTTCCCTTTTTGTGCCCAATGTGACAAGAGTCTGATCCAATTTTCACAGAGTATGTGATTCAAAATTTTCAGCAGATGGAAGGGTGTTTGAGTACCCACAAGAAACAGATCATTTGGGTATCAGTAAATAGCTTGAAAATGCATGTATTTCTCCACTCTCACTGATTTCTTTGTCCTTATAGCAGCAGCATCAGTAAATCCCATGGATTCTTTTCAAACCTAAACATTAGCTACCTCACTGGTTATGTTTTTCTTTGTAAAACCAGGTTCCCATGCAGCTAAAGCTGCCACTGATGCAATGTAAAGTGCACTGACTTCAGTGACAGTTTTGCCCGCACAGGGATTGCAGGATGAGACCCTCAGTTTCATGTCATACTATTATTTGCGTTGGGCATATCTTGAATGTTTTCTTGTACCAAGCATCCATTTTGCTGCATTGCCACTGCTGCTTTGTCATACAGAGAGCTGCCAGTTAGTGAGGTTCTGGATCAGTGTCTCCTTCCTGTTTATAAAACTGACCTTGATTCCCTTGGGATGCACTGCACCAGTCACTTTCACTCACAAAGTCAGAGTGATTGCACAGTGATAAGAATACGAAAAGCTGAGATGGCAGGAACCCTTTTAGAATAGCATTCTAGTCTGCACTCAGTCTCTTTTCCCCGTTCTCCGACTTGTCATGTTGTGTTTTGCAGTTCATTAGTTGTTGTTACATGTCTTTAGCATGAGAATCAGAGAACAAAAATACCACAGAGTAAAGAATCAGAGAGAGAGAGAAAGAATATGCACCGCAAACGGAGCCTGCCTCAGCTGTTTTGGATGTACCTGAGAAACCATGTTATACGCACACCTTCCCCAGCCCCACCCTGTGGTCACATCACTAGCGAAACTCAGCTGCTTCCTGTGGTGGCATCTTCGTTTAACAGCATTGAACTTGTTTTTTCTTTGTTTAAATGACGAGGGGAAATTTTCTATTTAAGCTGGAAGGTGGAGCACCATTAGGAGTTGCTAGACCCACATCTACGCATTTCATATGTCAAATTATAGCTGTGCCGAAGCCTATAAGGCTGGGCTGTGGATCTGGACCTGAATTTCCTGCAAGCTGCAGGTGGGAAGTTGGATCCAGAGGTCTGGTTTGACCCATTATAGATAGAGGGGCCATCCAGATTAGAGCTTCACCCAAATTTAGGGACTTGGATCCAGGGTTCTGATTTGGGCCATCTCTACACGGAAGAATTAGAAGTTGTTTTCTTTCCTTCTTTAATGGAACTGTCTTACTCATTTGAGATTCTGGCATGGTGGTCTGCAATAGGTCAGGAAGGTTTGCATCCAGATGTATACAGAATATAGGGCATTTATAGTCTCTGAATGGATAATGAATGTTCTGCTGCCTCTGTGATTCTTTTCAAAGCAAAATGGGGGAAACACAACATAGCTCTGAGTGCAGCACTCAAGGGGTTCACAAACATTGGTGCCTCTGTTTCCAGACATTCATCATTCAACAATAAAAATGTGCTGGAAGCTGAGATTTTTAAAAAAGATATTAAGTGCAACATGTACAGTGTGGTCATCTCTCTGCCCTGTGGCTGCCTGATTGACAGCTCATCATCTAGTTAGTGATGCTAGCACTTCAAGCCCTGATGTGGCATTTGTGACTGAGATTCAGTACTTGTAGAACTTCAGTAGTAGTCAGCATCTCTAGCACATCTGTACGTTTGGGATTTGGCCAGATAAAACCAGAAACAGCAAAACCAGATGTGCTCCCTGTCAATTTTGTATTCTGATATCCAGAAGAAAACAACCACTTCAACATTACCTATTTTCCAATATTCCTTTATGAGATGGCTTGTTCTGTATATTTTTAAAGACACATTATAGCTTTATCTGTACTCAAGCCAATGCTTTTTTTACCATGGGAACCAGATTGAGACCACATGTTATTGCACGTAACTGGGTTCCCACAGATGCAACAGAAATGGAAAATTGGGAACTGGGACGAAATCCAGCTTTATATTAATCCCATCCCATTTTGCATTCGACATGTTTCCATTTACAATGAGCCAGAGCTGTCGGTGTCATTTTCTGCTTGGTTTCTTCATTATGATGGAAAGGTTCAGGCACAACAGAGAGGTTATCTGTCATTTTTTATTGTAACATCTGGTAGATTTAGGAATATTTTGTCTCTCACAGTCAGCAGCACCATGATCTTCAGAAGAAAGTGCAAGAAACCTTGCAGTTATGGGATAACCTGATCGTAAAGAAAATTTCCTCCTAACCCCATCAGTTACTAGTTGGCTTATGCCCTGCAACATGAGGGCTTGTAGCCCTTCTAGAACTCTTGGGTATTTTTAAACCTTATTATTATTATTATTACTATTTATTTATTATACCTCTGGATAGTCTTTTTTATCCACATAAATGCCAAACCCTGAATCCTGTAAAGCTCTTGACCTCCCTGGTCTCCTGTCAGTGAGTTCCACAGATTTGTGCATTGTATGAGAAAATTTCTCAAACTTTTGCAGGGTAAAAATGTTTGTAAAATGTCACACACATTCGTTTTCACTGTAGACAGCTTTATCCAGTTTCATATGTAACAAATCTCTATCTTTATTTTTTACAGTGCATTGTGTCAGTCGTGGCAAGTTACAGTATTTGGATGAAGCATTATCCATTCAGAGCTGCCTTAGCTAGAAAATCACCAGTAAAATTTATGAAAGCTTCTTGAACCTGATTGATTCACTGCTGTGATCATAAAATGTGAGTTTAATCCATTAATTATAGTGTGTGTGATGATACTGCTTGCAAGACATGAGTCTTGAATTTAGAGCACCTAAACCTTTAAGAACTGTCCTTATCCAAGTAAAATGGTAGCTGCTTTTCTATATGTTTAAAGAACCAGTAATAGCCAAGGAGAAATATATACAGTAGTATCTCAGAGTTACGAACACCTCGGGAATGGAAGTTGTTCATAACTCTGAAATGGTTGTAACTCTGAGCAAAACATGATGGTTGTTTTTTCAAAAGTTTACAACTTAACACTGACCAAACATAGCTTTGAAACTTTACTATGCAGGACAAAATTGCAGTTTTTAACCATCTTAATTTAGATGAAACAAGCACAAAAACAGTTTCCTTACCTTGTCAAATCTTTTTTTTAAACGTTCCTTTTTTTTTTAGTAGTTTTCCTTTAACACAGTACTGGACAGTATTTACCTGATTGCGTACGACTAGTACCAAATGAGGTGTGTGGTTGACTGTTCAGTTTGTGACTGGTGTTAGTAACTCTGAGGTTCTGCTGTATTGTCTTAGTTGATAGGCTTGTTCTGTTAACAAAGTTTTCAGCCATAATTTTTTAATTTATTTTAATTTACTTTTTTACTTATTATAAATTGCATGGGGGGAAGTGTGTCACAGTCTGACCAAAGAAGTTTAAAACCCTTAGGGATTTTTGGTTAACCATGTTTTATTAATCATTATGAGCCTTAATTCAGATGCTCCAGATGTTAGTGCTAAAGCTAGAAAGGTGGCTAGCATCTGTGCTACATCTCTGATGTAAGAAGGCTCATACCTGAGCTGTGTGAATGTCAAAATGTTCATGTTAATGAGCATGCCAAAGGAAGATTTTTTTGCATGGATGTATACCTCTAAATTTCATTTTATGCAAAATTCCTGTGAAATGGTTCATTTAAATTGAAAACAAAACTGCAGAAACATGATTTTCTGCTTGTTTTAATAGGAACCTATTTTCATTCAAAAGGAGACCCCATATTTGCTTGTAACCCCCTCATCTGTAATTTTTAATTAGTTTTGTGTTTTTATTATGAATACTTTGCTTACCTACTGTAGAAAGAGAACTCAAAATAATTGTGAAAATCTATTCTCAGTGAGGTAGGTGCAAATTGGTAACAATGGTGACTTTGGTGTAAATCTGGTAACTCTAGTGTCTGCAGATCTTGTGGTTTGGGGGATTTCTCCAAAATCAGAGGGGACAGTGCATTGCAGGGAAAGTCCACAGTGTGTGAGGTCTGAGTACAGCTGCTGACAAAAGCTCATCAGAAAGAATGCCAGATACAAGAGTTCCGCAGTGGTATTTTATTTTTAGTTTGTTTATTCATATTGATTAAATTAAAATACATCATCATTTGTACTTTTTTAGAAAAACACACAAAGATGAACTAATGTCACAAAAGATTTCATGTCCTAGAAGGAAAGTCTCTTTCCTAGATCCACTCACACTCAGTTGAGCCCACCCCTCCAGGAAAGGTTCTGGGTGAATACCCTGTGGCATATCCAGAAAGTCTGTAAATTGGCTTCTATTGAATGAAGGAGGGAGTCCCAGAGCCAAAGACTCTTCACTGGGCTTAATGATGGCAAAGTATTCTCTCCAGTTGAAAAAGAGGGGACTGTTCGCTCAAGCACTTCATCTGATTGCTACTGCATCATTTATTTAAAGAGGAGCAGACCAGTTCCTAAAGACGCCAGAACTTAAACCTTTTAGAGCTTTATAAGTCAAATCTTAAGCTTTGGAAACCCTTTGGAAGCCTGTACAAATAATGGAACACAGTTGTAATACACCTCCTGCATAAGGTACCACTTAGCAAGTGAGCACTATGTTCCCCACTAGCTAAAGATTCTGAGTGCTCTTTACATCTACTCATCTATAGAGTCTAGCCTCAAGTTGACAAAGACATACTGTGAGGTCCACATCTGAAAGGGGAGGCTTGTAACTTTCAAGCACAGATGAAAAGAACACTTGGCAGCTGCTGTTGTCTGGGGAGCCACAAGTACCCAAGGGTTCAACAAGAACTTGAATAAAAAATGGCAGGCGTTCTTCCCATACTGAGGGAGCTGCTCTAATCCTCACCATTTCCTCTCCTGTCAACAAGCATTAACTCTTTCTGATCTGGGCTGATCAATTGTGAGATGGGTAAAGAAGGAAGGACAAAGAAGTGGGAGAGGGAGCCCGACACTATCATATCATTGAAGTCAGTAGAGCTGACTGAGAAATAGGAAGCACTTTCCACATACAAAAATTCAAAAGAAATTTAAAAGTTGGCTATTTTATCCAAAGTTTTTACAGGAAGGGTCGCGTGTGTTTGTTGTTTTGTTTTAAAAAAAATCAAACAAACAAAAAACCACCAACAATTTTTGGTTGTTTTCCCTTTTCAAAACCAGAAAAAAATGAAAGAAGCAAAACTTTTCATTTAGAAAATAGGCCATTTTTCTTTGACAAACAATGTTTTGAAATAAAAATGTCGACTTGCTTAAAGACTGGGGGTCAGCCCAGAGAGAGAGAGAGAGTGGGATGACTTTGGGAAGGGAGAGAGGTCAATGATCATACAAGTACGAACTTCAGAAGCTTAATGGGAGGCATGAGAGGTAGTGGAAAACGAGTTGAGGAAACGGAGAAGGCTCTGATTGGTTTGGGAAGATAGAGAGGAAAAGTGAGGTGAGGCAAAAGAGAAAGGAGCTCCCAAAAGGAGCATACAAAAGATTTTGCAGTAAGCTTCAGGAAAGTCTATAATTTTAGGGCTTAGCCAAGATGAACTTCTAAGCCTGTTGAAGTTTTTCCATCATTGGTCATAAGCCTTCAATGATTTTTTTCTTTCTTTAGTTTATAAAATGCAGTTGTATAATTATAGGAAAGGGTTGGGATATGTAAAATAAGATTTGTAAATCCCTCTGCTTTTCACAGTGCATTTATATGTAAGACTATAGATTCTTTTAATCTGTAAACAAAGCTGGTTGAATAGGAAACAAGATGTAATGATGGAAAACCCCAGAGTTTGGTCAAAGAAGAAATATAAACACATTTAAGGCAAGTCTCTTCCCATCAGCTAAAACTTCAGGATCAAGTCTCTGCCAAAGCACTCTTTTCCAGGAATATGACATAGAGAGTGCCACAATTTGGCTTTGAATGCTTTTCACCTCATTTTTACAACTGGATTGGATATCCAGACTGATATTGCAGCTCTGTTTCTGTTCAACAGCCTATTTCTGATTAATGACAGATAGAAAGTATTAACATATTAACATAAATCTACCTTTCAAACAGCTTCCCAAACTGTTAGCAATTTAAATTTGTTTCTGCTTAATGTGGAAATGCCTTGACTTCATAGTCCAGGTTTATTACCTCACTCAGCCAGTTTTTGGATCATCTGTTTCTGTTAGAACTAGTGAGGATCCCAACCAAATTCCCTAGACAGAAATACCACTGAGCCTTGGGGAAGTTCAGACTCAGATCCAAACATTTAGCTTCGAGCCACCTTGCTATCTTAGGTACTTAGGTGGTCTCCATTACTGCCCCTATAAAGTAAATGAGATTTAGGTTGCTAATGCTTAAGTCACTTTTGAAAATAGGACTTAGGTGTCCAAGTCACTTAGGCCTTGCAATCTGAGCAGAGTTTGCCTAAATATCAGGCCCTAACTGACTCAGGAAGTCTGTGGAGGAACAGATACTTGAGCCGAGGTTTTCTGCATCCTAGGCTACAGCCTTAACCTCTGGATCATCCTTCCTCTCTTTGTCGACCTGATGAGGATGGGATAAATATTACCTCTCTTGATGATACTAACCGTAGGGCTCTATAGCTATCTGTGACTTTTTGGAACTCTGGGTGAGTCTGTTAGGCTACATCTTGACTGCAATAAAAGACATGGTCACAGTTGGCTCAGGCTAGCTGACTCAGGCTCTGAGACTTGGTGCCATGTGTGTTTTATCACAGGGTAGCTATACTTTAAAGTGTCAAGGATTTGTCTGGTGCTTCTGGTCCAAGGCGGAGTAACAGAGTTCTGACCATAGGAGTGTTCACTCTGCTGTGTGCCACTTGTGGGGTAGGAGATGGAGTGCCTGGCAAACAGGACCATAATCACTGGGATTCCTCCCAGTCCCTGCCAACAAATAGGAAGTGTGGGGGTAGAGGCAGAGAGTGGAGAAATAGCCTTCCTCGTCTTTACCACGAGAGAAGTAAGTGTAGTGGAGTTCAGAAAGACAAGCTAATCACAGCAGGATATCCTGTCCTGGCATTGCAATGCTTTTTTCATAATGCTGATGCAGTAATATACTGCAAGCTGCTCTGTCTTCTCCCTGCCCTCCCACATTGCCCCATGCAGAACTACCCGGCAAGATCTGCCATCAATGCTGAGTAGTTTCTAAAGAGTTTAGAAGCTACTTATTATGTGCATTATGGCAAGTGTGGTAAACCAATGAAACTAATAAATTCATTGAAATAAGTTGCTGCTGGTATGAAAGGACCTTCCTCCACAGATGGAACTAAAAACCACTGCAGACCCACCCATTTCAACAATGAGTTGGGTTAATGGCAAGCGGGCCGATGTCAAAGGCATTTATGTGAGGAAGTTAATCTATACCATATTGTGTCACTTCATAAGACATTCATAGCATACATTGTCCCAAGGGCAGAGTTTTCCTTGAAATCTAGGTGACAAAATAGGGATCTGTCCCCTTGAATATCTTTGCAAAATCAAATGGTAGAAGTAATGCCATTTGTAGAGGATGGTGTATTTCTTGCCATATAAACTTGAACTGTGCTAAAGAAACTGTGGTACTTGTAGCTTACATAAAGGGCAGCTATATAGATATAAATATAGATATAATACGATCTGTTATAGGGCTCATAGCACTAAGTATATGTCCTGGGTGTGGTGGGAAAAAATCAAAGCAATAACGAATAGGCTATATGAAATGTGAAAACACACCAGTTCTCTGGCTGAGAGCTGTATCTGGTTTCTGTCTGATG